CAGCACTAAGTGCTTCTTCCTTTTATAGAGGTCTGCTCATACTATTTAAACCATTTATCAGATTCCTCTAATAATTTGATTGTATACATCTCATATGTAATTATGTACAACATCACCTAGGTCTAATTTTAATCAACAGTTGAGGAATCAATTTCTTTTTCTAGAATATGTTGTTGTTGATTGCCTTTAAGTCAAGCATGACTCATAGCAACTTTATAAACAAAAGGCCTAAAGCCCCTGTACAACTATTAACATTTATCAATGTTCATAGAAATTCTGGAAGCATGTTGTTTAGGAAGTGGATGCCACTTCTGCTTCCAAACCTGTCATAGTATGTTATTATGATTATGTGCCATTGAGTCACCTGCAATATATAGCAACCCTATGTACAGCAGCTCTGAACCCTTCCCTGTCCTGAGCCAGTCTCACTAACTCCAACACACCAACCCCTATCACGCCAGCAATGTAAACAGAGACAGTACGTCACAGAACTTAGCAGAAGCTCAGTGGCCAGAACCTTCCCTCAGTACAGCCTCAAGCAAAAATCGTTCTCTGAAGTAGGTACATGGGATTTGGACTTACATCCTCCTAAACAAGAAATGGATAGCAGCATGAGAGACCAGTAGCAGTTTCCTTTTCTAGAATATAGTAGTAAATGATTCTTCTGTCATTTTTATTCATTGTATGGCTCTCAGATGGTATACCAAGTGATTGTAAAGACAATCGCTTAAAAAGACTCAGGTGTACACTAATATTCAAACTGACATCATTACTCCCCAATATTTTTATGAGATTGCTGACAGTAGACTTACCCAATGCAATCAATATATCTCCTAATCTCCTGACTACTAGTACCAAGGCGTTGATTATTGATACAAGCAAGATTAAATCACTGACAATTTCAATCCTTTATCCATCTATCATGATGTTGCCTGTTAGCCAGTGGTAAGGACCTTTGTCTTCTTGATATTGAGAACAATTAATTTTGAAGGCTGTAGTCTTTGATCTTCTTCAGCATATGCTTCAAGACTCACTCAGTTTCAGTAAGCAAGGTTGTGTCATCTGCCTAATATAGGTGGCTTATGAGTCTTTCTCTGATCTGGATGCCTCATTCCTCTTCATAGATTCCAGCTTCACAAATTGTTTGCTCAGCATATAGACTTGAACAACTATGGAGAAAGATTACATGTCTTATACACATCCTTCCTGATTTTAAACCATCTATTCGGACAACAGCTTCTTGTGAAGGTATAGATTTTGCATGAGCACAATTAAATGTTGTGGGATGTCCTTTCTTTTCAAGGTTAGCCATAGTTTATGATCCACACAGTAAAATGACTTTTCATCGTCAATAAAACACAAAGAGACATTATTCTAGTCTTCTCTGCTTTCAGCTAAAATGAGTCTAACAACAGCAATCATATTCCTAGTGCCATGACCTCTTCTAAATCCCTCTCAAACTTCAGGAAGTTCCCTATCAACATATTGTTCTAGCCATTTTTGGATGATCTTCAGCAGTATTTTGCTTGCACGAGATATTAATATTGTTCAATAATTTCCACATTCTGTTAGATCACCTTTCTTAGGAATGGGAATAAGAATTTCAATTGAGTTGTGGTTTTGAAGAAGAGTACTGAATATCCCATGAAAAAGTGCAGCCAATATGGTATAACTTCATCTCTCATAGTTAGAGCATGTTGCTAGGAGAAACTCTTCCTTGGAAAAGGACATCTTGCTTAGAAAGGTGGAGGGTCAAGAAAAGACAAGAGGACCCTCCCCCAAATAGATGGATTGGCACAGTGACTATAGCAGTGAGTTCAGGTGTATCAAAGATACTGAAGCTGGTACAACATAGGACAGAGTTCAGATCTGTTCTTCATAGGGTCACCATAAGTTGTGCTTGACTTGATGGCACCTAACAACAAGCAGCATTGGATGGAACTCAGTAAATATTTGAGCTAGTGATTAAACAGATAAATTTAGCAACAGTAATATAAAGATTGTTAAGCATGCCTCCCTCATTTCTTGCTGCTCATAGTCTTTTTCTGTCTAAGACATAGCAGTAGACATTGACCATCTATTTAATGGAAGAGAAGTGTAACCTGAATCTATTTTTAGAACTGTAGAGATCCCACTGAATAATTTGCCACCACAATTACTTCCTTTTGGAAATTTATAGTCTTATAAGAGGCAAGATTTAGACATGCAAATTCCAACATAAGACTCACCCAATAGAATTATAATTGTCTACTTGTCCTATTCTAAATATACAAAATAATATTGTGTTCTGAGTCTAAACTTTGAACTCATCTATACTTGAATATTGGAGAAGAGTATGACTATTCAATGAACTGTTGAAGAACAAACAAATATATGTCTTGAAGACGGTACAGCCAAAGTGCCCCTTAGAGACAAAGATGGCAAAGCTTTGCCTCTCATACTTTAAGCATGTTCTTAGGAGATGCTGTTCCTTGGAAAGGTGGAGGGTCCATGAAAAATAGGAAGACCCTCAATGAGATGAACTCACACATTGACTGCTGCAATGGACTTGAGTATGTTAGAATTGATGATGGCACAGAATAAGAAAGGGTTCAGACCTGTTGTTCATAAGGTCACTGTAAATCATACTTGACATGATGGCACCTAACACAACAAAACGGTCTTAACATTTCTGCATACCAGCTGAGATGTACTGAGCAAATTATACAAACTCTTTAAATCTTGCTTCTATCAATTACAAAACAAAGTTAATACTACAGATCTCCATACATAATATACATAATAAGCATAGTAAGTATGTGACAAATAATGGTAGTGAAGGTGGTACTTGAGGATAATGATAAAGCTCCTAACACAGTGAACTATAGTCCCTAAAGTAAAATAACATTTTAATTTGTCTTTGAATTCTCAGCACCTGCTATAGTGCTTGGTATGAAGTAGATATTAAACATGTGTCTGTTTGGTGCAACCACTGTGGAAGGCGGTATGGCACTTTCTCAAAAAGTTGCAAATAGAGATACCATTTGACCCAGCAACTCCACTACTGAGAATGTATCCTAAAGAGACCATAACTGACATCCAAGCAGATATATGCACACCCATGTTTATCGCAGCTCTGTTGACAATAGCAAGGAGTTGGAAACAACCCAGGTGCCCATCAACAAACGAATGGGTAGAGAAGCTGTGGTATATTCACACAATGGAATACTATGCTGCATTGAAAAACAAGGAACTCATTCAATATTATTCAAAATGGGTGAGCCTGGAGGACATTATGCTGAGTGAAATATCTCAGTCACAAAAGGACAAATATTGCATGGTGCCACTGCTGTAAAATGGGACTGATATCAAGGTGGGGGTAAGACTGAGAAAAACTGGATAAATTGTGTATACTGCACTGAAACAGATGAGGAACTGAATAATTTAAAAGCGATGTATGATAGGGTATTATGGTTATCACAGGAGTCCACAATTAAGGTTGCATAGTGTAATGTACTTGGGGCGGTGGGAGGGGTGCAGGGGGATTGTGTACCAGGGAGGGAGTCTTTCTTTTAGTTTTGAAAGAGAGGAGCGAACTGGGGGGTAGGGGGAGAGGGCTGGGTGGGTAGAGAAGTGCAGCAATGAATGAATGGAAATCCAAATTATCTGTAAATGTTCATTAAAATTCTTTTTAAAAATTTAAAACAAAAAAACATGTGTTTGTTAAAATAATGGGCAGTTACCAAAACAAAGATATTTAAAGACAAGACAAGTAAGAAAAGAAAGAGCCAGGTATGGACTCTAGTTATTAGGGAGATCTCATTGAAGAATGAGGTATGTACAGGGTAGACATTTCAATAGTACAAGAGGACACAGATGAAGAAAGACAAAGGAAGCAAGTATCACATCAAAGTGTATGGCCTTAATAGCCTCTTCTGGGATGGGATGAAGTTGACATACTTTGGTAGGAAAGGGGAGCAGTGAGAGTGTAACATACACTTGTGTGAAAGACAAATATTTGTCATTACTAAAACTTTATAACACCCTGCTGATAGATTAATAACCAAGGCAGCAATTCTAAATGTATTCCTCTTGAAAACTACACATATCCAAATTACGTAAGGAACTATTTCATTTAAACAAACTATATTGTATAGTCGGAGGCGGGGTGGGGGGTGGGGGAGAAAATGTGCTTTCAAGGGAAACAAATCTAGATTAGACTTTTCTTTTTTGCCCTTTAAATAAACCTACTGTGAAAATCACTTACTTTTTAAAACATCAGTTCTTCCTTCTGGAAAATTAAAATAATAATGCCTTTCCCAGTAAGCCATCATAGGACTTAAAGGAGATGATTTGTGTTAGGTGTCTGTACAGCACAATTCACTGCAAAATGTTCAATCAACATGAGAGCTGCTATTATTTTTAATACTATGAATTGGTACATTTATGTATTTATGCCAAGTTACAAGGATACATTTTGGCTGCATGTCTTTTTGGACATGTAAACTTGAGGTTATTTCGTCTGAAATTTTGTCAAAGTTGTTGAAATAAAAATAATCCAAAAAAGGACAATATGTAACATAATACCACTAGATTGTGTATCTTTTCAAAATGAAGAAATACAAAAGTTTGGAGCATGGGTCATTGTATAGGTTGAATGGTCCAATAGGAATATAATTACTTTATTTATTAACCACCTGCTGTACAAACTGTCATGCAAATTCTGCCTTATGCTTTCTGCAAAACATTTGAAAAATCCCTACAACATTTTTTCACTCTGCTTGGATTTTTTTTCCATAGTGAAATACATAATTTCAAGTGTGTTTGTAAACCAGCCAAATATTTCCTTTCAAATACTTGAGCTCTTTGTTGAAATACAGAGTGATGGTTCTTAGTAGATTACTTTTTTTCCTTTCTGTACTGTAATGTGATCCTTTAATTCTTTAAATGGCTTTTAGTTCCATCAATATCCTAAGGAATCCCCTATGCCTAAAATAAATATAGTTTTTCATTTTATGCAGGTTCTTCCAGAGGACCAAGCCCCCTCACTATGGGAGCCCAGGACACCCTCCCTGTTGCCGCAGCATTTACAGAAACAGTCAATGCCTACTTCAAAGGAGCAGATCCAAGCAAGTAAGCCTGAGACTTCATCCACATAGTTTGTAAGCTGTATCCTATCTAGAGAGAAACACACTACATTTTACTATCTTATTCCTTACCTGAACCCAAAATGATTCCTATTAAAACAAAAGGTATAATACCTAGAACAAAGGAGAAAATATTTTTAGGATGATTCATTCACTGATTTTTATAGTCCCAAAATGTCCAATAAGTTAATATCTTATTATTCAGTGCCATTAACGCAACCCCATCTCATCACAACTTTATGCTCAACCAAACAGAAATCTGTACAGTCCTCTGTCATCTCCTAGATTAGCTCAGAAATTGTGACCATTGATTTTCATTGGCTAGTATTTGGGTCCTTCTCAAAAAGAGTGCTAGCCTTCTCTGGTGCCATCTGTATAGAGTTGGGCTACTTAGCTCCAAAAAAGGCACCCCTCTGTCAGTTTGTATCCACTAGTAACTCCACAGGAGAAGGATGGGCAGTCTCCTCCTGTATGATTTAGAGCCTCCAAAAACCCACTGGACGGTCAGCTATGAGTTGATTCTGACTCAATGGCAATGAAAAAAAGAGGAAAGAATTCAGAAGTAGATAATTAAACCTTTCATTCTAGTCTGCTTTAGTCTGGAAACTTGACTGATACCTATTGGTCATGCCTGCTAATAACTGCATCATAGTAACACAATGTCTCCACTGACAAAAAGTCTGTGGCTGCACATAAGGTCCATTAGTTGGGAATCAAAACAGCGTCTCCAACATAGAAGGTCACCCCATTCTATCACAGAGTCACCAGTGCTATCTAGAAATCTATAAAGTCTTACTATTCAGAAATATGATTCAGCTTTTGATTATAAGAGAAAATGCTAACCTAAGTCTTTCAGCAATACCAAAATTTATTATCTTGAAAAAGTAAAAGGCCAGATCATGCCTTTTTTTATCTCAGTCTTTCCAAAATGAGAATCACCCAAAAGTAAATTGGAACAATGATAAATTGGAATGAGAACCTGGAAGAAAACAACACTTTCCAAAAGCACTCAGGTTGGCAAGAGGTTAAATATTTTACCCTTAGTAGTTAAAGAATAAGCTAGGCACAGATCATTATAATCACAGATAGTAAATCTAGAACAAGATACAATACTTCTATTTGCAGAAGTCTGATTTCTCTCATGTCAGTTATTGTTGTAAGGTGATGTCAGGTCAACTATGACTCATAGAAATCCTATAAACAATGTTTCTGAACCTTGCCCTATTCTGGGCTGCCCTCAACATCTCTAGTACACTTAACCCTATTGCTACAGTCACTGTGTCAATCCATGTTGTCGACTATGTCAATACATATAGGCAATGCATTCAACAGCAATCACTGTTTTTTGAAATGAATCTAAATGCTACTGTGATATCATTAATTACTTCTTTCTATAAGGAATCACATGAATGAGTTGGGGAAGTCTATGAATTCATGTTATATAGTCTATAGAATCTGCCAAGCCCTGATGATTAGCACCTATGTGTTGGGTCACTAATCTATATTTCTCAGTAGAAGAAAGATGGACAGTCTCAACCAATAAAGATTTGTTGTTGTTGTTGTTGTTATGTGCCGTCGAGTCGCCTGCGACTCATAGCGACCCTATGTACAACAGCCCTAAACTCCGCTCTGTCCTGTGCCAATCGCACTGTCTCTGACACTCCCATCCCAATTATCTCAGTCACTGAATCAATCCACCTCATAGAGGGCCTTCCTCTCCTGCGCCGTCCCTCCACCCTCCCAAGCATGATGTCCCTCTCCAAGGACTGGTCTCTCCTCACTACATGTCCGAAGTAAGTTAGACGGAGCCTCAGAATCCTTGCCTCCGAGGAGCCACCCGGTTTAACCCTCTCCAGGACAAATAAAGATTTAGTACCTCAAAGACCCAGAGGAGGGCTGCTGGGAGTCATTGCCATCTCACCAGCAATGTGTGGTTTTTAAGTTATGACATCCATCAATTTCATAGAGAAGTTCCATGATTCAACAAAACAGAAGAGTAGTGACTTGTCTACATTGACAACTGAACAACTAAGTCAAACTAGTGCCCATGTGTGTAATTAATACCATTTTAAGCATGGATTTTATTGATAAACAAAGGAAAAAGGGAAGAATTCTTAGATGAGGGAACATTTGTTCCTTTTTTCTTCTTCTTCACTTTTAAGGACTATAATTTAGAAATCTTTGGTATCTATGGAAATAAGAATAAGAGAAAAATTAAATTTGCATACAAAATGCTTGATAATTAAATATAATTAGAATTTAGATCTCCATGTAGATTTACAGTGAGAATATGTATGACTAATCATGAATCCTCATTATACCTCAGAAACAATAGGAATTTTTTTAAAGTCCAAAGCTAACAGTATTAATAATTCTGCTTTTAAGTACTCTACAAAGGAAGTGGGATCTACAAATATATTTTTTTAATTTTTATTTTTGTGTGAGTGTACCATCAAATCAGATCTGACTGGTACAGGAGGAGATTATTCCTCCTTTTCCCGGCAGAGAGCATCTGGTGGATTCGAACCATGTGCCTCTGGGATTGTAGTTGCAGCTCCTTGCCACTAGGCCACCAGAGCTCTCAATCTACAAATATATTTAAATACCATGTCGTTTTAAAAAAGAAATCTAGATTTTATTTTGTTGTTGTTACTGTTGTTTTATGCCATTGAGTTAGAATCAAATCATAGTTGACTGCCCAGTGGGTTTCTAAAGGCTGTAAAACACACAGGAGGAGATTCCCATCTTTCTCCCAGGGAGCAGCCTCTGGGTTCGAACCGTATGCCTTTGGATGGGCAATTCAATTCCTTACCTATGGGCAATCAGATTTTGGGTTTTATAGTCGACTTTGATATTGCAGCATAGCTTCTGGCCAAAATATAAGAATTTTTCTTTTTTTCCTTGTGTGCCATCGAGTCAGATCCGACTGGCACAGGAGGAGATTGCCCCTCCATCTCCAGCAGACAATCTAGTGGATTCAAACCTCTTGCCTTTGGGATTACAGTGCAGCTTCTTGCCACTAGGCTACCAGAGCTCCCTTTATAGTAGACTTTGAATTATTATAATGAGACAAACACCATGTGTTCTAGTTTCCTTTCTCCTTTATCTTCAAGTAATGAAATTTTTCTGTGTCTACATTTGGTGGCCTAGTGGTAAGGAGCTACACTGCCACACCAAAGGCACACAGTTCAAATCCACTAGGTGCTTTTTGGGAGAAAGATGAGCAGCCCCCCACCCCCACCCCGCCCCCAATGCAATTTACTAGTTTGAAAACTTGCGGGAGGTTGAATCAGTTCTGATTCTACAGCACAGAGCAACATTTAAATAGAAAGTAAAATCTACCCCATACAGAAATAACAGCATTTGAGCTGTTAGAGCAATTAAAAACCATGGAACTTATCTCTAAGGAGGAAGAGACAGATGACTGAGTAAATATGCAACACATTCAGTAGAGAGAAAGGCCAAGGATATAAAATATATTTCCTTTATACTGGAGGACAGTACTTAAAATGTGCATCAATTTCTGTCATGCCAGTTGAAAGACTACCTGCATAGTGACTGTCAAAATGGGCTTAAGTAGAGCAGAGATGACGGATGGGGCATAGCATAACATAGGGTTCAGATCAGTTGTATATTGGGTCTCTATGAATCATAGTCAACTTGATGGCACCTGACAACATTGCTGGTTGGCCTTTGCCTTTATAAGTTCCGGCTAACCTGAGTTGAAATATTGGATAGATCACACATTTGAAAAATAAGAGCAGTCAGTTGTGGAGAGAATTATATGTTCCTGAGTGAAAAACACAGGGAATCACATACAAATTCATTCTTGGTGACTTTCTCTCATTCTTCCACTCACTGGTTTATTCCAGAAAACATAATTGCTCTCCCTATGTTCACTCTGCGCCACTTCCTGGAGCCAGTTCTCAACAAATCATGTCAATTCAAAGTGAATACCTTGCTCAAAGTTAGTACCATAGGTTTTATAACAGCCGCTATGTTCTATCTTTTGGCATCCTCCAACCCCCACCCAGTATCAACTCTCTGGTTCTATGTCTCTGATCATGTCTCTATTGTTACATGCCTTTACACACACACCCGTACACTGACCCCATTACCGTTTCTCATTCATCACCGTGCCCCATCCATACCTCAATACTTCTGTACTTTTGTCTCTATCTAAACATTTAAATTTACTTTTACTTCCTTTTTTATACTCTTACTCGAGCTTACATCATGACACTTCAGGAGATTTCTTAAAGAGACATGTTCTATCCACCCTAGATAGAATTGCAACTCCTCTCAATCCCTGTCAATGTATATTCCTACCTCACTTTTCTCTGTCTTTTTAGCCCTTTTTTCTACTGGTCAGATTGCATATTACTCAGTTGCCCAGAAGAATGTAATTCCTAAGAGCTGGACTTTGTTTTGTTCATTCCTATGACACCAGCACCTGAAAACAGGACCCAGCATGGAGTGCTCAACACATATCTGCTAAACAATTTGAATTGTTATTGTTGTATGTGCCATCGAGTCAACTATGACTCATAGCAACCTTATACAGAATAGCTGTGAATCCTACAAAGGAGTGGAATGACTTGGCAAAACCTGTGGCCCTGTCCCTATGTGAGCAAGTTTCCTGATTCTCTTAAGGTTCTCCCAGCCTAATATGACAGATATTGAGAGGGCTGCATCCAATGAACTCGGTAGCTGTGACCTTGACAGTTCACTGTATGTGATGTAGCAGCTTTGCCTGCTTAATGTTAGTGCTTTTACTGTACTTTGCTAAATAACTGAGTCTTTGACTTATGGATGACTGCATATATTGAATCTTTGTCATTAAATTGCCATAAATATTCCCAAATGGGAAATCTCACATATTTCATTGACATTTTGAGATCTGAAATTCATGAACAGTTCTTGAAGCGGCATTCTTATGCATCTAATTCCATCCTTAGGCAGTGAGTCATATCAATTGCTCTTCTT